CTCCCTCTCTTGAGGGAAAGAACATGAGCGCCAGTTTTAAAACAGCCTCAGCAGGTCATCCTGCCACGATGGGCACAAAGATGCCCAGGCAGTGCTGGGATCGGAAGACCTTAGAATTTCTACAAGCCAGTGTGGGAGACAAGAGTCTCCAGATGCCTCTGGGACACCATTTCTAACCAGCAGACAGATATGTGGTGGGGACAGAGAAGAGTGCTTGGACCCCAAGGGGGGTCACAGGGGCCTTCCCAGCCATGGCTCTCTGGCCCAGGGCCCTTCCTGTACCGCACATGGCCACCAGGTTGTCCAATGGACTCCAGGGCAGGACCAGCAGAGCTGGGCTGGAAGGCTCGGGGTGGCCTGGGGGTGGACGCCCCCACAGCGCCCCCCTTCCCTTGCACCCACACAGCTTCCCCATCAGCTTCTTTGAAAGTTGGGAGCGTCTTTTGTATCGCAAAGGCCAAAGGGCCAAGCACACCTTTAATTAAAATGCACATCCTTTAATTAAAGGCCCCGTAACACGTGAAGGGCATCCACTGAAACACGACGAGTGACACAGTCATTACCCCGCTGTTAATTACTAATTAATGAAGCTATTTCAATTAATAGCTTTCCCACCGCCGCTCCCCTCGGACAGGCCCCGTGCTGGGCGCGTTGGAGCACAGACCTCGGCTCCGCGCCAGCAGCCGGCGACGCTGAATATTCATGACTGACTTCAACGCTTTTCAATTAAACACAATAAAGTAAATTTCTGTCAAAAGTGTATTTCCAACCACTGCCCATCTTTCCTTGTGGCTGGTTGGCAGGACCCAGAGGAGGGGAGAGGCCCGCCAGCCCCGCGGGTGCCCGCTGCAGAAGGCAGAGCTCGTGGGGGACTTCTGGAAGGTGCTCCCACCAGGGCATCCCCCCCACAGCAGTGGCTCAGCTTGGGTGTCCCCAGACAGGGGAATGACGTCCCGGTCCCCAAGGCAGCAAGCGGAGACCTCTAGGCACTGCTGTCCCACAGATAAAGGACAATGGCCAGGAAATGGGGGGACAGGCAGCCCAGAGAGGGGGAGGGTTATTAACATACTAATGATGGATGTTAAGTGATCATTAAAGATCCTGCTTTAGAGAAACAACTGAGAAGTGCCTCTTACAGTGACCAGGAGGGCCCTGGGGGGCTGGCAGGACCTGAGGATCCGGGCGCTCGGGCAGGCACAGCCCCAACCCTGGAGGGACATGCGGGGGGGCGGGGGTGGACAGAGCATTTGGGGCAGCCGGCTTGGGGAGAAGCCGGGAAGTGACCGGGACGGGGCTTCTGGGTCTTGTGGGGTTGCGAGGCTGGCAGGGGCGGCCTGGGCCGACTGCTGTGTGCCAGGAAACTTATTCTTCCCTGCGCACGCCTCTGCGTTCTCCAGCTTCTCCAGAATGGATGTCACAAGAGTCAGTATTTCCAGCAGGACCCCGTCACAGCGACTCGAAATCTCCATGCAAAGTCCTGGGAAAGAGCACACAGCGTGGGGCGGGAGGTGGGCCACTGGGGGGGCACTGCAGGGGCACTTCGGGGGCACTGCATCGCCTGGACCGCCGAAGCCGCCTGGCCCGCGTGTGATCCGGCCCCAGCCCCTGTACCAGAGCCTTTGTCCTCGGGTGGCTGCGTGCACACAGCCCTGTGCCTCGCCCAGCCTCCCGAGCCCTCGGACCTGGAGCCGCTCCCTAGATGAGGATCGTCCTGGGTGGGGCCGGGACTGCAGCCCCCGCCACAGAGCTCCCACCCGAGCCGGCTGTCTACACTGCAGCCCTGCCTTGCCCTGCCTTGCGCTGCCTTGCCCTGTGGTCGTTGAGGGAAAGGGCACTGGAGGGCGTGCCTGGGCCGTGGGGATGCAGTGGCGAGGAGAGCCTGGAGCTCCGCCCTGGGCCAGGCTTCTGAGCTTTGTCCTTCAAGGCGGAGGCAGGGCACGCCACACACCCGGGAAAGGGCGCGCTGTGGTCATCCCGGCTGCGGACAGAGCGGGTGGGGAAAGGGTTCTTGCCGCCTGTCCGTTCACAAGGCCCCGAGGCACACCCACCAGTCCTGAGAGGATGGAGTGTCCAGGCCCGGCCCCTCCCGCAATGTCCCACTCTGGGGCCTCACAACCCCCTCATCCCATCCCTTTGCCCCCTGCCATCACCCATGCTGTTCCTCCACCTCTTACGCCTCCCTTCCAACCCCCTCCTTCCCTTCTCTCCCAGCAGAGCGCCAGGCACCTGGCACCTGCCCCCGCACGCTGTGTTCCAGGCTGGAGACAGCTTTGCTGGGAGCTCAGGGAGCCGACACAGCCCTGTCCGACGGCACCCTCTGTCGGCCTGATGGGGAATGACCACGGCCAGGTCCTGAGGTTGTGGGCACATGGGCATGTGTGCACTCCTACACAGTCACACCCACACAGGAACACACAGACACACGCAAGACACATGCACACTTACAGTCACACCCACACAAGAACAGACACACGCACACTCACACACAGACACAGGCACACTCAGAGCCACACCCACACAGGAACACAGAGACACATGCACACTCACACACAGACACATGCACACTCACACACAGATGTGCATATTCACGTGCACACTCACACGAACACAGACATGCGCACACACATGCACACTCACACAGACACTTGCAAAACCACACTTGCACACACACGAACACAGACACATGCATACACTTGCACATCCACACATGAACACAGACACGTGTGCACATACTGCACAGTCGCACATGAACACACTTGCACACATGCACGCCTGCCCTCCTGGAGCTGGAGAAGAGCGAGCAGACCACCCCAGACTCCTTGACTCCCCACCATCTTGGGTTCCAACATCTGCCGGAGGAAAGGCCGGGGTCAGCACCCAGAGGCTGCTGGGAGGGAAGGGGGTAGCGCGCGGGCCTGCCTGCTGTGCCTGGGCCTGACCCCACATCCCACAGGACAGTCTCCCCTGGCCTCCACTCTGCAAGGAAGTGACAGGAACCTGACAGAGTCCAGCGGGAACCTTGGTCCTGCAGGACTGGGTGGCCAGAGGGGCAGCCCACACTGCCTGCCTAGTTCTGTAGCCCTTCTGGGGTCTCCACTCGGGTCCCCTGGGCAGGGCTCCCTCCTCACTCTCAGAGCTTTAGTAGCTGGCTTTGGATTTTAGACAGTGCAAACTGGCTGGGCACCATGGCTCATGCCTATAATCCCAATACTCTGGGAAGCCATGGGGGGAGGGTCGCTTGAGTCCAGGAGTTCAAGACCAGCCTGGGCAACACAGTGAGTGCTGGGTGCGATGGTGTGCACGTGTGGTTCCGCTGCTTGGGAGGCTGAGGTGGGAGGATCGACTTGAGCCGGGGAAGCTGAGGCTGCTGTGAGCTGTGATTGTGCCACTGCGTTCTAGCCTGGGCGATGGAGCAAGACCCTGTCTCCAAAAAACAAAAGTAGGGCCGGGCACAGAGGCTCACTCCTCTAATCCCAGCACTTTGGGAGGCCAAGGCGGGTGGATCACCTGAGGTCAGGAGTTTACAACCAGCCTGGCCAACATGGTGAAACCCCGTCTCTACTAAAAATACAAAAATTAGCCCGGTGTGGTGGCAGGTCCCTGTAATCCCAGCTACTCAGGGGGGTGAGGCAGGAGAATCGCTTGAACTCAGGAGTCGAACGTTGCAGTGAGCCGAGATCATACCACTGCACTCCAGCCTGGGGGAAAGAGTGAGCCTCTGTCTCCAAAAAATAAATAAAATAAAAATAAAATGTGCTAATTGCACCCTTGTGTTCATAGATCCATCAGTGGGTGAACAGATAACCAAAACGTGGCTCATCCACACAACAGAGGATTTTAATCAGCCTTAAAACAGAAAAAAATGCTGACACTTGCTACAAAATGGATAAAAGCCCAGCACACTGCTGAGTGAAATCAGCCAGGCGCAGACCAGCCTAGCGCAGCCCCACCTAAAGTTGAGACACCAAGTAGAGTGGGGCCGTCGGGGCTGGCGCAGAGCCACAGGAGCCAGTGTTTAATGAGCAGGAACTTCGGTTTGGTGAGACGAGAACGTTCTGAAGACGGACGGCAGCAACAGCTGCACACCACGGATGTGCCTAATGCCACGGAAGCGTGCCCTTACAAACGGCTACAGTGGCACATTGGGTGTCATGTAGATTTAACGCAAGGCGAGGAGAGAGAAACTCACTCTCAATGCACAGGCCCCACCTTTGAACCCGGCCGCAGGCCCCTTTCCAGGGCTTGGCTTCGAAGTCTCCGGACAGCAGCTGCCAGGCTTCCGGAAGCCCCTCCTCCCCCGAGACTCCCCAGGGCCTCCACAGGGCCATCCCGACCCTCCGTGGGGGAGACACTGTAGCTGTACCATGGGACCACAGGGTTAGGGCAGACTATAGGGGAACATCGTGCTCAAGTGGAAAACCACTCTGTCTTTGCACAGCACAGCTAGGCTGTCTGACTCCCCGGGGGCCCTGTCTTGGGAAATCACTGTCCTCTGTGGACACACAGGACCCACCGGCGAAGGAACGCCGAAACCGGCCCGGCTCTGCTGACGCATTTACTCAACACCCCTGGCCGAGGAATGTGTCTGTTCCTGCGATTCTCCTTTGACCTGGCTCCAGCGTTGTCACTAGCTTCCTCATGAATGAGCCACGAAAAGTCGTTCACATGCGTTCACTCTTCAAAAGCAAAGGTGTCGGCCGGGCGCGGTGGCTCACGCCTGTAATCCCAGCACTTTGGGAGGCTGAGGCGGGCGGATCACAAGGTCAAGAGACAGAGACCATCCTGGCCAACATGGTGAAACCCCGTCTCTACTAAAAAATACAAAGATTAGCTGGGCATGGTGGCACGCACCTGTAGTCCCAGCTACTCAGGAGGCTGAGGCAGGAGAATTGCTTGAACCCGGGAGGCGGAGGTTGCAGTGAGCCGAGATCGCGCCATTGCACTCCAGCCTGGTGCCTGGCGACAGAGCGAGACTCTGTCTCAAAAAAAAAGTAACAGCCTTCTTTTTGAATAGTTTAATAGTTATTACTTGAATCAGGCTTCGAGTGCTTTTCCACATTTTTTGGGTTTTTTTCTCCACATGGACATCTTGCAGGATGTATCATTAACTCATGAAACCACCAGTTCCTCAGGGAATGAAAAGGGAGGTAGAAAGAACTCCAGAAAGGTGGGTCTGTGTGTTCTGGAGTGCATGCCCCCCTCACCCCAAGGAAGGTGCCGACCATCCCTGGGGAGCAGAATCACCAGGCCTGGGAAAGCCGTGCGTGTTGGAGCGCCTGTGCCACAGCTGCGCTGGGCAGGGCCAAGGAGTGTCCAGGCGTCTGCACAGTGAGAACCCGGTGAGTGCAGACAGTGGCACCAGGGTCCCAGTGACAGGCAAGGGTCTCTAGCTTACCACCCACCCACTGCCCTGGGGGACTCTGTCAGGCTACTGAGAGATTCTGAGGCTGTGTCTAGAGACTGGCTACCGGGGAGGCTGGGCAGAGTCTGGAGACATTTCTGGGTGTTATTCGACTGCAAGGAGGGAGAGGGAGGTTGGTGCTGCAGGCATGGGGTGGGTAGAGGCCAGGGATGCCTTTAAGCCTCCTGCAGTGCACAGGATGGCCCCCACCATGGAGGACAACCCACCAGAGACACAGCAATGCCGGCTGGGGTTGGGGAGACTGCGCCTGGCACCGGCCCCACATTAGCAGGCAGGCTCTGCAGGGGGCTTGCCGGGACCACGCAGGTCAGATGGCAGCGGGAATGAAGCTGTGCCTATTAATGGTAACCCCACTCAACCCGACGGCCACACCAGCCTGTAAGGGCTGCGCCTGCTGGCAGGTGGGGAAACTGAGGCCCAGAGAGCAGCCAGCCTGGTCTGGACCCAGGCCCACTCCCGCCACCCTGCCAGCAGGTGTGAACTCCTCGAGGAGCCTCAGGCTCCACAGTGGTTTGCGTTCCTCTCTGCTCGTGCGTCTGAGATGGAGGGACCAGGTCCCTCAAACTGAGTCCCCTCTGTCCCGGGGCTGCTGGCATCTGGGTCCTGGGAGAGGCTGTGGGGTTGGGAGCTAGAGTTCCTCGCGGCTGGGGCTCAGGTCCACCCTCTGGGCCTGTCCGAACACCAGGAAGGTGCACAGCCCCAGGTTGCTGATGATGGCCACCAGGTTGAACAGGCAAGTCCAAGAGCCCGTGGTCTCGATCAGGTAGCCGCCCAGACACACGCCCACAACACCTGCCCAAGAGAGGACCAGGCCGATTGCTCCCAGGTAGTCCAGGCCCCACGCCCCAGCCCAGTTCCCAGGGCAGTGCCAGGGGAAGGGCTGGGGGGGTCTAGCACCCAATAGAAACCCCATGGTTCCCAGGGCTGAATTTGGGTGTCCCAGCTACGGGTCAGGCTCAGAGTTGGGGGATCTTGGAGACACAGAGATCTCACAGGCCATCCGGGAAACGGCCTCCGAATGAGTCCCCCTTGTTCCGCTGAAGGGGAACTGAAAGCCACAGGCCAGCCCAGGTGTGGCTGAGCTGGAGAAGGTACCCCCATCATCCAAGTCACTCAGCAGAGCCAGGCAGCATCCCGGGGACCCCAGACTACCAGGATTGGACCATATCTGAGCGTAAGGGCAGACAGTGACCCATAGCCACCTGCCGTCAGCAAAGTCCAGGGGAACCTGGAAGGCGGCCACACCCTCCTTTCCCTGGGCCCACTCTGGGGTCTGTGCCCTCCCCTGACACCGGGGAGGCACACCCCCGCCCCCCATCCTGCAGCGCCTCGGTGGGCTCGAACCCCACAGACAGGGGAGCCCCTGGGTGCAGAGGCACACCCCTCACCTGCCAAGGCCCCAGCTGTGTTGGCCACACCTGTGAACAGTCCAGAGGGAGAGAGAACACAGACGTCAGCGAAAGCCCACCAGGAGCTTCCATAACCCCCCGCCCAGAGGCCCAGGGAGGGCAGAGCTGGGGTGGGCAAGGTCCTCACCAAACAGAAAGCCGGCGCAGGACGGGGCCAAGTCCTGGATGTTCACGGAGATGCCACTGCGGGGAGGAAAGAGGCTGTGAATGGCCTGGCCCCCACCGAGCTCGCAGCTGGCCCGCGCTCACCCAGAGCCGGGGCTGTCACGGGGGAGGAGGGAAGCAAGGCCTGCTGGAGCCGCAGGAGGGGCTGGGAGACGCCGCGGGAGGGGCTGGGAGACGCCGCGGGAGGGGCTGGGAGACGCCGCGGGAGGGGCTGGGAGACGCCGCGGGAGGGGCTGGGAGACGCCGCGGGAGGGGCTGGGAGACGCCGCGGGAGGGGCTGGGAGACGCCGCGGGAGGGGCTGGGAGACGCCGCGGGAGGGGCTGGGAGACGCCGCGGGAGGGGCTGGGAGACGCCGCGGGAGGGGCTGGGAGACGCCGCGGGAGGGGCTGGGAGACGCTGGGGCCTGCTCCCTGGCCAGGGCCGCAGCCCTGCACACCTCCCCAACCCAAGCCCCAGCGCCCGTCTTCACGGAGAGCCCGGTGCAGGAAGCCGCTCCTTACAGTCAAGTGCTGCCGGGAAAGCGCGTTCCCAGGGCACACAGATCCCGCACGCGCTGCTCACTGCTGTGAACCCTGCTTCCTAAACGGCTCCCACCCTGGCCTCAGGGCAGCCGCTGCCCAGCGGCTTGGGAAGGAGGTGAGGTGGAGAGGCCTGGCGAGAGGCGGACAGAGCTCCCTCTTCACGCAAGCGGGCAGCACAGTGGCTCTGGGAGCTGCAGCGGTCAGCCCTCACCTGTGGTTGAAGGTCTGGAGGCAGATGGAGGCTGATGCAAAGACTACAGACTCACAGAAGCTTGAGGTGTGGCCCAGGCGCAGAGCGAAGATGCTGGAGAGACCAAGGCCCACGCCCTGCAGGGAAGCGTCACGGTGACAGGTGGGCACCCAGCCGCCTGCAGCTGCGCCCTCGCCCGCCCCAACCCGACCCGCCTGCAGCCGGGACCGCTCCTGACTCGCCCGCCCGACAGACCCCTGGGCGCACTGTGCAAGGCTCAGGTCAGCTGGGACCCGAAACCTCTCTCGGGACCCCTAGAGGAGATCTGGGAGGAGGCTCCCCATGAATCAGCCCCACTCCAAGGGAGAGGCCCTAATCGTCATGGGCAAGCTCAGGCCGGGCCCAGAGGGGACGCTGACCCCAGCTTGCCCTCCAGCAGTCGTTTCCACAGCCCACTCTGGCCCTGGTGCTGGGCACATGGGGAGGCCTGGCATTTGCCTGGTCCCAAACATCAGGTGACTTGGGGACATAACCTGCAGTCCTAGAGATCCCCCAACAAAGCAGGGACATCCGGAGAGGACTGGAATGTTTCTCCTACCTGCATGAGCTTCCGCACCGTGATGGCTCTGTAACCTACAGGGGAGGCCAAGGAAGGAGCTCCTGTTAGCCCGTTTGTGCTGATGCCCCGGACAGTGCCCAGAGGGGACCCCATCCCTATGGCTGCAGAGGAGCAGCAGGGGAGGAGGCATGGGGTGGCACAGAGCAGCAGCTTGGGCTCAAGACAGCTATCGTGTGCTGCGGGTGAAAGCGTGTGCACGCGTGTGTGTGGCGCATCCACGAGGCTGTACATGTGCCGTGGGTGAAAGTGTGTGCACACGCGTGTGTGTGGCGCATCCACGAGGCTGTACGTGTGCCCCTGGGAGGTTCCCAAGGCATAGGTTTGGTCAGAAAGCACAGAAGCACAGCCGCACGGCATTTTCGGAGGCAGAAACGGGTGCGCAACCCACTTCCTCTGTTTCTCCAGATTGTATAGTTTTTCCACAATGTGTGTGTATTCTTTTTGCAATTAGGAAAAACATTCTAAGAATGTGCATGCGCGTGTGGATCGAGCGTGTGGCCGCACACGTGCCCCCGCCTGTGCATGTCTGTGAGGACACCGTGCTAGGGAAGAACACGCACAGCGTCCTCGGCTCAGCCCAGCTTGGCCTGGAGCGCATGGAGCAAAGACAGACGCTCTTCCAAAGGCTCCAGGACGCCTGAAACCTCCGAACCCACCGGGCGCCTTCCCGGAGGCTCGAGGGCTGCATCTGGCCCCAGGCGTGAGACCAGACCCTCTCACCACACTCCAACCTCACCCTTTAGGGAGGAGGCTGAGCCTGGAAGGAAGTGCCCAGCTGGGCAGTGCCCCTCTGCCCCAGCTCTGCATGTGCTGAGGCTGCACCCCTGACCCCTCAAAAGTCCCGTGAACCCGGGGTATGGCCCCAGTCCATCCTCTCCCCGGGGCTCACCCTGATTGATGAGATGATCAGAGAGAAACCCGCTGAATACACTGGCAGGAATCGCCACCAACCAAGGCACCACGTTGAAGATCCAGCCCTGCAGGAAGGAGCGTGGCCTCAGAGGGGCCATCTGGAAGAGGATACTCAGGCTGGACAGCCACCGTGCCTGCCACTGCCCAGGAAAGCTCTCCAGCAGGGCCAGCCCCACCCCAGGCTTGTGCAGCTCTGGAGTCTTGACCATTGCCTGGGAGGACAGCAGGACAGCCTTGGAGGAGGAGCCATGCTGACCACAGGTGACCCCTCTGTCCACATCCCGGCTCCTACACCGGCCTCTGTGGGCCCTGAAGTCAGGCTCTGCAGGCCAGCAGGTCACCGTTGTGAGCTGGAAGGGCTGCAGCCGAAGCAGGAAGGCCTGGAGCACCCACATTATTTTCAGACTCAAACACGGACACCTGCCCCGATCCCGGACAGGGTCCTCTCAGAGGAAGAGCCCGGCGGTGCCAGGACTGTCAGAGTCTGGGAGGAGCTGAGGGTCCCCCCCCATCTGTTGGCTGAGGACCCGTGGTACCCGGTGCAGCTCAAGCCTCGTGCCTTCTGGGCACTCCACCTCGCAGGAGCCCCTGGCTCGGCTTACCTTGGCGTCGGGGAAGGTCTCCTTGAAGAAGGTGGGCAGCCAGGACAGGAGCACAAAGAAGGAGCAGGCTGCAGACAGCTGGGAGAAGACGGCTGCCCTGTGGGGCCGGGCAGCAGACCGTGACTCTGGCGCCACGAAGGCCGGGGAGCCTGTGGGACCCACCCCTCTCCCCTGGGGGCCAGAGCCCCACCTCTGAGCCCTGGGCCTCAGGGCCTGTCGGGTCCAGCCAGGCTCACACCCCATGGGCACCAGCCCTGCCACTGCTCTGAGGGGCTCACCAGACAGCAGGCTTCCGGAAGAGCCGTCTCCAGGGGACTCTGCTGTGCCTGGACACCAGCAGGCCTGGGGCCAGGACACCCAAGGCCGGGACCAGGTCTGTGGGAGCAATGGTTTCAAGGTGATGGCTAGCAGGGCGGGAGGCGCTGTCCGTTCCCAAAGGACTGGGGATTTGGGGCCAGTTCCAGAGGGGTCAGCAGGCCTCGCCCACACCCCAGGCTACACACAGGCACCAGCCTCCCGTGTCTTTCCCTACCAGGCACCAAACGGGCAGTGTCACCTTTGAGAACCGTGTTCTGAATGACCTCCCCACGTTCAGGGACTTTGGGGAGCCCCTTGGGCCACCCACAGACTTGGCTGCTCCTGCGCCCCCGTGACCTGAGCCCAGCAGGTCTTCCTGGGTGTCTGCCTGAGCCCTAAATGGAAACTTCCAGACTGAATTTGGTGGCAGAGCTGCCGAGAGCTCAGCACCTGAGCGCCTTTCCTCGGGCTGGAGTCTGGTGGGTTCTCTGGGAGGTCAAAGCTGCCGTCTCCAGGCTCCTGCTCCAGGCTGCTCAGCTGCTGCGGGAGGAGGCACTGGACGGCCTGGCCACCCAGGATGAGCCCGCCCGGCCTGCGTTACCTTTTTCACTCAGCAGGTACCTGTACACGTACCACACCCAAAGTAGGGTGAGGCTGCCAGAGAAATAGAAGACGCTCTGCCAGCTGTACCATTCCAGGAGCAGGGAGCCCACCGCCCCAGTCAGCAGCGTCCTGCAAAGACAGGGGCGCATGGCCAGGCCCCCTCGGGCAAGGACCGGCCTCTCAGAAACCCCACCCTGGTGCAGGCTGAGCCCTGGAAAAGGCTGCTTTCATCGCCCTTAGAGAGCAGCTCCGAAGCCCCCACCCCAGCCTATTTTGGGAAGGATTTCGGGTATTCAGGGGACACAGGCTGGGGCAGATTTGGAATCAGCCACGCGTGTGCCAGTCAGGGGCGGCGGCCCCAGAGCTCAAGCAGCTCCTCATATCCTGCTTCCTGGCCTTCAGGCTGGCCTAGGCTTCGTCACACGGATCCTTTTAAACTAAAAATGGCAACGGGGAGAAGACAGCGTTGAGAATATTCTACAGTGACGCTGTACACGGTGGTTGTGTTTCAAACATCATTGAGGATAAACTTCAAAAACATTTCTAGATGCAAGAATCCCACAACGGCCAAATCCTGCAACCCCATCCCCTGTCCCCACGATCTCATTGTCCCAAAGGTTCCCTCGCAGGCTAGCTGCTGGGTGCAACCTGGCTGGCCCCAGCCCCCGTCTGCTGCTCCAATGGCACCAGGGAAATAGTTACCATCACGGCAAAAAGAGGAAGAGAGGGAGAGACCCAGAGCGGGGCCTGGCATCCAGATGGGGCCTCCTTCCTCCTGCTGAGCCTCTGCGGGCGGGCACAGCTCCTGGCAGCCAGGCTCAGGCTTGGGCGCCAGGGCTGGCTGGGGACAGCACTCTTCCTGCCCCTCCCAGCCCGTACTCTACCTGCTCTGTGCACCCCACCTGAGTGCAGATAAAGCACAGGACACCCCGTGAACCCGGGTTTTGGGTCAGTGAGGACTCACTTTTTTTTTTTTTAATTTTTTTTTTTAAAGACGGGGTTTCACCATGTTGGTCAGGCTCCTCAGGTGATCCACCCTCCTTGGCCTCCAAAGTGCTTGGATTACAGGCATGAGCCACCACGCCCGGCCAACTCATTCTTTAGTAGAATGATCTCCCCTCTGGTTTATCTGAAATTCCCATTCCTCTGGGCAGTCTGTTTTTATTTGATGACTCTGTCACCCTCGGCCTGCCTCCTCCACCCACAGGAGCCGCCTCCACCCCTCTGAACCCCAGTCACTTGACGGTCTGCACCCGGCCACCGAGAGGCGCTGTCAGCTCGTGCGCCTGTCCACCCTGCTGCAACCATTGGGAGACCTCCCACCCAGGCCGCCAGCATCACTAGAGGGTCTGGAGCTGCCCCCGGGGCGGCGCTGGGAAGGAAGACTGAGGGGCACAGGGTTGCCTGCGCTGTGGTTGAGGACAAGTCGCCCTCGAGCCAGCTGAGAGGCCCACCCTGGCCAGGACGCTCCGGGTTTGCAGACTCTCCTTTCAGGGCAGGGGCAGGGGGAGCAACGGAGGCGGGGAGACCGTCTGGCTTCGTTAGCACAAATGAAAGGAAATGAAGTGATGCGGCCACTCCCCCAACCCACGTCCCCAAGTCCCAGCCTCGTCACCTGCAGCCACCCCAGAAAGGCAGAACTATGCACCTGCAGAGCACGGCCTCGGGCTGCGGAGTCCAGACGATGCCCATTGGACCCACCTCACCCCTGGTGGCCCTGCAGGCCCACCTGACTCATCTCCTACCTGGTACCAGGGGTCACCCAGCAAGGGGCTCACCTGGTGGCCTCTCTGGGGCCTCGTCTGAGGCCAGGACTTACCCAAACTGGGAGCCAGCGCCCACGGTGCTGTAGGTGAAGGCTCGCTCGCTCTCCCGCACCTTCTGCGACAGCAGGCTGGTCAGGGCAGGGAAGTAAAGCCCTGCAACGAGTAGAGGGAGGTCTCTGGGGTCCATGCGGGGAGGCTGGCCTGGCCCGTCTGCTCGGGTGTGGGCTGTGAGTCCAGAGGACGTGCACCTGTCCCTCTCGCTCACCTCACCACCCGAGGGACCAGCAGGGCAGGTTTTTGGCGCCACTGAGGAAACAGACTCCTTCTGGGCGAGGCACCCTCAGGGTTGTGCCGTCCGCATTGCTGTGGGAAACAGCCCTGCTTCCAAGCCAGCCCTCCCACCCACGCACGGGCACAGGTGCCCACTCACCACCGGCCTCCAGCTCCCCGCTGCGCTCTGCAGAGTCCTCGCACCAACACACACACACACGGCATGTGCACATGCGTCTGCACACACGTGTCCACGGGCAAACCACTTCTGGGCAGTGCTGCACGGCGTATGCACGAGGATTCATGTGTGCACGCACAGAAACCCGCCAAATGTGTACCAGATACATACCGCCCACACTCGGGTACATACTTTCCCAGACACACCCCCCCACAGATAGACACACACTCCCCACACACAGACACACACTCCCCACACACAGACACACACACCCCACACACAGATACACACTCCCCCACACACAGACACACACTCCCCACACACACCCACACTCCCCCACGTAGACACACACTCCCCCATGCAGACACACACTCCCCCACGCAGATAGACACATACTCCCCACACACAGACACACACTCCCCACACACAGACACACACTCCCCACGCAGACACACACTCCCCACACACAGACACACACTCCCCCATGCAGACACACACTCCCCACACAGACACACACTCCCCACACAGACACACACTCCCCACACACAGACACACACACCCCCACGCAGATAGACACACACTCCCCACGCAGATAGAAACACACTCCCCATACACACACACTCCCCCACGCAGACACACACTCCCCCACGCAGACACACACTCCCCCACATGGACACACACTCCCCACGCAGACAGACACACACTCCCCACACACAGACACACACTCCCCCATGCAGACACACACTCCCCACACACTCCCCACACAGACACACACTCCCCACACACAGACACACACACCCCCACGCAGATAGACACACACTCCCCACGCAGATAGAAACACACTCCCCACACACACACACTCCCCCATGCAGACACACACTCCCCCACGTAGACACACACTCCCCCATGCAGACACACACTCCCCCATGCAGATAGACGCACACTCCCCACACAGAGACACACACTCCCCAAGCAGATAGATGCACACTCCCCACACACAGACACACACTCCCCACACACACACACACACCCCACACACACACACACACACCCCCCACACACACACACCCCCACGCAGATAGACACACACTCCCCACACACACACACTCCCCCATGCAGACACACACTCCCCACACACAGACACACACTCCCCCATGCAGACACACACTCCCCCATGCAGATAGATGCACACTCCCCACACACACACACTCCCCAAGCAGATAGACGCACACTCCCCACACACAGACACACACTCCCCACACACATACCCCCACACACACACACCCCCACGCAGATAGACACACACTCCCCACGCAGATAGAAACACACTCCCCATACACACACACTCCCCCATGCAGACACACACTCCCCCATGTAGACACACACTCCCCCACGCAGACACACACTCCCCCACATGGACACACACTCCCCACGCAGACAGACACACACTCCCCACACACAGACACACACTCCCCCATGCAGACACACACTCCCCACACACTCCCCACACAGACACACACTCCCCACACACAGACACACACACCCCCACGCAGATAGACACTCCCCACGCAGATAGAAACACACTCCCCACACACACACACTCCCCCATGCAGACATACACTCCCCCACGTAGACACACACTCCCCCATGCAGACACACACTCCCCCATGCAGATAGACGCACACTCCCCACACAGAGACACACACTCCCCAAGCAGATAGACGCACACTCCCCACACACACACACTCCCCACACACACACACACACCCCACACACACACACACACCCCCACGCAGATAGACACACACTCCCCACACACACACACTCCCCCATGCAGACACACACTCCCCACACACAGACACACACTCCCCCATGCAGACACACACTTCCCCATGCAGATAGATGCACACTCCCCACACACACACACACTCTCCAAGCAGATAGACGCACACTCCCCACACACAGACACACACTCCCCACACACACACACACACATACCCCACACACACACACACCCCCACGCAGATAGACACACACTCCCCACACACACACACTCCCCCATGCAGACACACACTCCCCACACACACACACTCCCCCATGCAGACACACACTCCCCCATGCAGATAGACGCACACTCCCCACACACAGACACACACTCCCCAAGCAGATAGACGCACACTCCCCACACACAGACACACACTCCCCCACGCACACACCCCCCCGCCCCAGGAAAGCTGTCCCTGTCCTTTCCTGTTTTATAAACTGAGCTCCCTCCCAGGATTTCTTTTGGACCAAGTGTTCTCCAGCCACTTTAAAAGTTCGGAGGCTGCATGCAGTGACTCTTGTCTACAATCCCAGCACTTTGGGAGGTTGAGGCAGGTGGCTCACAAGGTCAGAAGATCAAGACCATCCTGGCCAACACAGTGAAACCCGGTCTCTTCTAAAAATACAAATAATTAGCCGAGTGTGGTAGTGTGTGCCTGTGGTTCCAGCTACTCAAGAGGCTGAGGCAGGAGAATCACTTAAACCCACTAGGTGGATGTTGCAGTGAGTAGAGATCACGCCGTTGCATTCCAGCCTGGGCAACACAGCAAGACAGAGTCTCAAAAACACAAAAACTTGGAAACTGCCTTACGACTCCATGTAGCTCCACATCCAAAGGGCTCTGGAGCCCAGCCTGGAGGGGCTCTGTGAGGGAAGGCGCCACGGAGCCACCATGACGACCACGGCCCCTGTCTACAGGTTGCTAAAAACAGATGGCCACACACGGGAAGCGCCTGTGACTTTTCATCACAGAGCGCCAGCTCACAGGCTCACAGCTCAGAGGCAAGTCCATTTCCTGGCTCCCTCGGGGGAGGCTGGGGCTGCCTGCTGGAGCTCCGTGGGGCTCCCTCCAGAAGTCTGATGGCCCTGCAGTGAGAGCTACGGGTCTCGGGACCCCCGGTGTCTCCGCTCCGCCTGAGGACAGCGTGCACAAACAGGTGCCAGCCGCAGGGGGTGCCCACGGTTACCACGCAGCCACCATGCGGCCCCCAGACCCCCAGAGTAGACTCATGGGCACAGGATGATACCTGACATTGAGACGTGCCAGACCTTGAAGGTTTCTAGAAAACAGAATGTGCCTCAGGTGCCAAGTCATCAGTAGTACAAGCTGGCCCCACAGAGGAAGCCCGGCCGGAGCTGGCATGAGCCCACAGGGTCTGGCTGCCGTGCTGGGTCCCTAGAGCTTACCCACGAGGACAGCCACCTTCCCAGAGCCAAGGGCCTTCTCAGCGACACCTGGGAGGCACTGGTCAGCCGGGTCTGAGGCAGTGCTGCTGTTTTCTACACAGCTTCAGCCCAGGACCTGCCTCCCTCACCCGGAAGTCCCTCCAGTAAACAAAGATAAGCCTCGCCCCGACGGGCCTGTCCACCCTGCCGGGCGGTTGCCGATTCAATCACTAGTCTCTTCCTCCTCCAGCTCTTGCGGTGGGGCCCGGGGCAGTGCCTGGGGAGGCAGCGATGCTGGAGGGGCTATCCTGGGATGGGGCCCCCCCAGTACACACGATCCTACGTCCTCACACTCACAGCACCCTCTTCTAACGGTGGGCCACGCACGGGCCGGGTGGGCACTGGTGGTGGGGCCTGGGCTCTCATAAAACCCGCGACCATGACAGTGGCCTCTGTCCTGGGCAGAACCCCTTCCTCTGCTGTGGAGAGTCCCAGGCAGCACCCTCCAGGCCGTGACCTCAGGGAGTGAGAGTGTGGAGAGGGAGGGAGGATGAGGCTCGGGAGTGAACTCCCCAAAGTCTCTGGACTTGGAGGAGACAGGGGTGGGGGGACAGAGGTTCTAGGGGAGCCATGGCCAGGGCCCCGAACCTCACGCCTGCTCAGGAAGGTAGGGGGAGCCCTAAGGAGGGAGTCTGGATGGCCCAGGACACTGGGGGAGGAGTGTCCCGGACCGGGATCTGCCGATGGGTGAGGTGGCCAGGCAGGCTGGGGTGGGGCGGGCAGGCCCTGCAGGCTGGAGGCCTAGCTGTTTCTCCAGCAGACCCTAGCCAAGTAGGGACCACCCCAGAAAGCACCCTGGGACCCCACCCACCTTGTTTTCCTGACAAGGAGCTCCAAGGTGCTAGTATGGGAGGCATCATCAGCATATGTGTGGCCAAAATGCACAAAACCCAAAGTCCCACAGCAGAGTCCCCGAAGTGGGAATCCACCACTGAACTAAGGTGCCGCTGACAGAGCTCGAGGGTGGGAACAGACTCACTACGCGGTGATCCTGGGTGTCACTGCAGAGTGTGCACCCACAAAAGGCGCCTGGATGGTCACACAGGCACCAACACACATGCACACGTGCATACGGGTGCACACACACGCACACGAGCACATACACACGTACACGCAGGCGGGCATGCACACACACGCACACGTGCATACGGGTGCACACACACGCACACGAGCACATACGTACACGCAGGCGGGCATGCACACACATGCACACGTGCATACGGGCACACACATGCACACGGCCTGCAGCACACATGCACACTCACGTGCACCCACACAGGTGTACACATGCACGGGGCATACCTATACACACACACATGCACACTGCCTGCAGCACACATGCATCTACACAGACATCCATGCACAGTTCCCTGTCTGCCCCACCTGGTGCCGGAGCGTGAGGGGCCACCTGAGCGCCCCTTACCTTGGAGCAAGCCCATGAGGATGCGTGAGAAGGTCATAAAGGCCAGGTGGGCACTGCCTAGGTGGGCGAGCAGAGGGGTGACAGCCGTGATGGAGCCCCAAGCAGAGGCTGACAGCAGAATGACCTTCTCACCCCCAATCCTGAGGGGGAGACAGAGGAAGGTGAGGATGTGGCTGTGCAGGACGAAGGGGCCCCACCCTGACTCAGGGGAGCCCTTGAATGGGTGCTTGGGGCTGGGCCTGGCCTGTCTGCCTCTCCAGGGCCTGCTCACGACCCCAGAGCTGCGTCCTGAGGAGGCCAGGTACTCCCGTGGAGCTGCCCACCTCCTCTGCCTCCCGGACCCTGGGGTCTTGCCGAGCCTGGCCTCTCCCCTCCCACCTTCCTCCACGTGGGTCTTCTGCCCAAATTTATCCACCGAGCTCCTTCCGCAGGAGCTGCTTCCTCCGTGTGCAGCAGCACAGCCAGCCCACTCGCCCCCAGAAGCCCCAGTGGGGCAGCCCCCTACCAGCCTGGAGATGGGGACGAGGGGCAGTTACCGGTCTCCGAGGTGGCCACCCACAACCTGTGTCAGGCAGTAGCCCCAGAAGAAGCTGCTAAGCACGATGCCGGCCTCCTTCTTGTTCCAGCCGAAGTCCTGGCTCATGGAGACCGTGCAGATGGGCATGCTGGCGCGGGCGCAGTACAGCAGGCATGTGCCCAGCAGCAGCGTCCCCGTCCACGCCTGGCACTCTGGCCTGCGGAAGAGGAGATGGTCAGGCTCTGGGGATGCCCACAGGTGGCCCTGCTGCTTCCTGCCTGTCACTCAGAGACCTCCCCCAGAGCTGGGGGACGTGGGCCTGCGAATGGGGACAGCTCCGCTGGAGGGCAGCTTGGCAAGCGTTCAGACACCTAATGGCACCTGTCTCTGACCCCCAGGAGAACCCGGGCAGCCAGAAAGGAGGCGCCGTGGTGGCTGGGAGGAGCCGAGGGGCCAGCACGGGCAGCTCACAGCGCGTCCCCACTAAAGGCTCCTGGGCCTGGCCCTGCTTGTTACACACGACGGTGACCAGGTCCCCAGGCCCCCAAAGGCGAGGACCAGCAGCACGAGGTGCCACATTCTCAGGCCTCCCTCCGCCCAGGAGGCCCTGGAGGGAATGGCAGCTGGGAGCCCTCTGCCGGGTGGGGTGTGCAGGGCAAGGGGCCCCCAGGGCGGCAGGGCTGAGGCAGCACAGGAGGTCCCAGCGGAGGACCCTGGGGCAGGCGGGGCCGAGTGGCCAGGAGAGGACACAGTGCCAGGAGGACGGCGGGCCCTTGGAGGGGGCTGGGCGGAGCGGGGCCTTCCCAGCCAGGGCCTCTGAATCCTGCACTCGCTGGCGCACGGGAGGTTCCTTGGCTGCTGCTGTCCCTGATTAAAGAGAGCTGTGGGGAGGCTCCGTCACTAGGTCCTGTGGCTGAGCCAAGATCACGGCTCTCTCCTCCTGCCTCAGGTTCCGGTGAGGGGCTCATGGGGGCACCGGGTCCCCTGGAGGGCTCTGGGGCCTGTCTGAGCTCGTAACCATCGTGTCTGGTCGAGTGGACCCGGGGCAGCAGGTGGGGTCTGGGGGAGCATGTCAGGTCTTTGTTTTGAACTTGCAGCTTCTCACTACAGCATGAAGTTGGTTCCAAATAAAGTCCCTCCTTTTGGCATGCTGGTTACAGGAAGGCCTCCGGGCAGCGTGGGTGGTCGACAAAGCTGGGTAAGAATCCCAGCCCCCTCACCTTTGGCACCTGGGGGTGGTCTCTCTGCCTCCTCCTGGCCAGGGGAGTCCTGGGTTGGCCAGGGGCATGGGGTGCAGGAGGAGGGGAGGGGAGGGGACAGAGCAAGGCAGGGAGTGGGAGTGGGAAGGGTCCCCAGTCCCACCTCAGGCCTTAGGGCTGGCTCCACTTTCGGGCCCCTGCACCCGGCCCGACAGACAGACGCGGTGGGACAGGATGGCAGCCCTGGGGCCCTGGCGCACTGGGAGCTTTGAGGAGCAGGGGTGGAGGGAGGACCGGCACAGATGGAGGTCACAATGCGGACACAGCCCTTCCCTGGCCCTGAGCAGCCGTGTCCTCTGGGAGAAGCCCTCTGTGCTGACCTGTCAGTCAGCCTTGGACCCTGAGGTGCGGCTCTGGGCAGCAGCCCCCTGACTCCAGGCGCAGAGGCCTGCAGCACCACGGACACCTCCAGAACTGCCACTCTGCCCGGGAGGCCTCCCGGTAACCACGGTGCCAAACGGAGGGATTATATTTTGAACCTGCGGGAGGGCGGGAGGCTCTGGAGACATCCCTGACCCGTCCACGGAGCCACACAGCCCTTCCCGCCCTCCTCCCCCGCAAGGACTGCGGATGGCCACTCTGAGCAAAGGCAGACACTGGCCCTGCTCGCAGAAAGTGACCCATAGAAACCAAATGACAAAAAGCGAAGACCACTCCTCCCCGGGCGCCAGGGCCTTGGCTGGGTGTGGAAAGGATTCAGGAGGGTCGCTGCGGCCAGGAGCTGCTGCTGGTGGGGGACAGGGTGGGCACAGGACCAGGCAGGGCTCCAGGGCACGGAAGTCCAGTGGGACTTGCTGAGTGCACGGCCTCCCCCGCCACCTCCAAAGCGTGACCTCACCACGCTAAAGCACCCTCGAGGGTGAGCCGGGGGCTGCTGGGACGTGCAGGCACGTGAGGAGAGGCTCACAGGCTGCAGAGGTGTGGGGGTCTGCAGGGCAGCACAGGCTGGACGTGGAGGGTCTGCTGGATACCCAGGCTTCTCACCGTGCCCTGGCATGGATGGAGCCCCAGATGGGGAGGTGGCGGCGGGAGCTGGGTTCAGAACTTGCGGAGTCAGATGCTGGAGAGAGGCCTTGGGCAGGGCAGGCACCGGCTCAGCGGATGCTCACGGAGGAGGCCAGGGCATGGGGGGCAGGAGTGCCGCTAATCCGGCCCCAAGCTGGGGGAGGGGAATTATAGGAATTCCCACTGGCCACTTCCAATTTTTGTGAAGCAGGAGGTGAGGATGCCCGCCGGAGAGTCGGGGCTGTCAGGAGGGTAACGAGGGCAAACAGCCACTGTGGGTGGGGGTGGGGCTGGTCCTGACGACACGCCAGGTGCGGGTGTGGACACAGCACTGGAGTCTGGAGTCAACCCGGTGGGCCGGGTCTTTGCACGGGCAGTGGGGAGGGGAATCTGATCCTGGGGTCCCACCGGGGCTCTGAGCCTGGGGCCTCAGTCCTGGCCAGCGAACCAGAGGTTGGAGGTATTAGTGCTGGAAGCCTTGATGAAGGGCAAGGCTGAGGAGTGGCAGGCCAAGGAGAGGGGAAGGTCAAGGGTGAAGGCCAGGGTGCCACCGTGGACTTCAGAGTCACCCAAGACAATGGCAGCAGTTAGCAGAGGAGGCTGCAGCCAGGAGCGAAGAACCAGCATCGCCAGGGACGGGGGGCACCCAGGAGGAGGGGGCCTCCTGGGCCTCGAAGAGAACAGGGCAGAGGGTGTCCCGGAGATGGCAGCAGGCGAGTTGGATACCGGAGTGTCTCACCCCACGCTTCCCAAAAGACCCCGCGTGCCCCTTTGGGGAGCCGGCTGCAGCCCCGGGCTGTGCTCCTAAGAACCTTCCAGAGATGAGTGAGTGGACGAGGGTGTGCCATGGACAGAGGGGCAGGGACCCGGCCCTCCTGGTGTTCTCCATGAGCCTGCGCCTGGACGCTTCCCAGGGGAGGTGAGACACCAAGCCTGGCGCTGACCACACCTGAGGGCACAGAGTCAGGCCGGCCAGCCCACATTCCCAAGCCTGGAGAGGGAGACCCAGAGAGCTCAGAGGCAAGAACAGGCCACCCAGAAGCCCAGAGCTTCATCCTGGCACCTCCCGCTCTGCAGAGGCTGTAGGGACAGCCATTAACCCTAGAGTCTGGAGAAAGCGCTGCCCGTCCTGGGCGTTGGCAGCCACTGTGCTTTCACCAGCGTCATTCGCGGCCAGCTTCCACACTGGGGACAACTGGCTTGTCCCATACCTGGCTGTGGCCTGGGTCTGAGGACCAGGTCTGCTCCCTGGGTTACCACACTGCCAGCCGGCCTAGCCCAGAACGGCTCTGGCCTCCACGCCCTGCCCAGGCATGGCTGATGCCCGCTGGCCTGTTTATTTACCGGGCCCCAGGCTCTCTGTAAACAATTTTCATTGACTGAACAAACGAGGCTTGCAGGAGGGACATGGGGGCTCCACCCTTAACCTTCTGCTAAAAGCCACACAGTCCAAAGGTGCCTTTAAAAAGGAGAGTTAGGGCTAGGTGTGGTGGCGTATTCCTGTAATCCCAGCACTCGGGGCGGCTGAGGTGAGCAGACCACTTGAGCCCAAGAGTTCAAGACCAGCCTGGGAAACATAAAGAGGTCCCCGTCTCTACAAAAAAATGATAATTTAAAAATTAGCCAGGGTCGGGCATGGTGGCTCACGCCTGTAATCCCAGCACTTGAGGAGGCCAAGGTGGGCAGACCACTTGAGGTCAGGTGTTAGAGACCAGCCTGGCCCACACGGTGAAACCCTGTCTCTACTAAAAATACAAAAAAATAGCCAGGCCTGGTGGCAGGCACCTGCAATCCCAGATACTTGGGAGGCTGAGGCAGGAGAATCACTTGAACCTGGGAGGTGGAGGTTGCAGTGAGCCGAGATCAAACCATTAAATTCCAGCCTCGGTGACAGATCGAGACTCCATTCCCCCCTCAAAAAAAAAAAAAAAAAAACCTAGCCGGGTGTGTGGTGTGTATCTGCAGTCCTGGCCGGGAGGCCGAGGGAGGATCACTTGAGCGGTCAAGGAGGTGCAGGTTGCAGTGAGCCAAGACTGCACCATTGCACTCCAGTCCGGGCGACAGAGATTCTGTCTCGATAAACGACGGGAGGTGGGACACCTGTGTCCAGCCGGCCCCTGCCCTGCCCGGCCTGGCCGTCAGACACGGCAGGAAGCTCAGTGGCACTGATTCTCACCAATCAAGGCCAGCACAGTGCTAAGACCACAGAACCACTCCCTGGCCTCCTCGGGAGGAGGAAGTCAAGAACAGCCCTTCCAGGCAAGCAGTCCACCCCAAGCCAAGCAGGCGGCCCCAGGCCAGCGGGGAGGTCCCGCAAGCTGTGTGGGGTGAAGGGTTGTCTTCCTCCTCCCTGGGCTGTGGAGGCCGAGAGGCCCCAGAGCCCCCTCTCTGAGCCGGGCAGGTGGTGCTGGCCAGGTGGGCACAGGGGTGCCCTCCACAGCCTCTGGGGAGTCAAGGAAGTCAGTCTGGAGAGGAAGATCCACACAGCCAGGGCTGCCTGAGGGCTGACGAGGACCCCAGGCCAAGAATCCTCCACCCTGGTGGGGGTGCCAAGAACTGGCCTGAACACCTTCCTCCCTCCGGTCCGCACTCCCTAGGCCCGGCAGGCTGCTTCCTGTGAACTGAACTTGAGCCTCGGCTTCTGGCGAACGGCTGAGCAAACAGGTGGCCACATGGCCCCTCGATTCAGAAAAGGGGACTGCCGGTGCCGGGCCAGGAGAGGACACTTGAGTGTGGCTGCTGCCCCTCCAGCTCCGTCCCAGCCTCCCTGAGGTGGCGGCAGGAGGGAGGGCTCTTGCCCCAGCGGGCCTTGGCGCTCCCCAGTAAGGCCCTTCGACGGAAGTGGCGAGAGCTGTGGTGGGGACTGCTTTTCAACCGCGAGCCTGGGAGGGCGGGACGGGGGCGGAGCCCGGAGGCCCTGGGGAGCGGCCCGCCTGGCAGGCCTGGCAGGCCTGGCGGGGGAAGGAAGGGAGCAGAGCGCGCGGGGCAGGCCGAGCAGAGGGCAGCCCTCCCCTCTAACTGGAGCCTGACAGGAAGACTCTCCGGCTGGGATCTGGGCTGCCAGCTTTTCCCACGCAGCCAGCACTCCCTTCATGTGGGCGCTGGCATCCGATGGTGGCCCTGCCCCTTTGGGCCTTCCTGCCACTCTTCAGCACTTCCAGGGTCCTCAGCCCTCACACAGCTGAGAACTGGTGGGGCCAGAAGGTGCCATTACCTTACCATGGTCAGGGCAGTTACCCTGGGGACTCAGAGCGGGCAGGACACTGGCTCTGGAACACACAGGGCCTGACTCTAGGCCCAGGGTCCAAGCGCCCGCGGCCTCAGCCCACAGACCCGGAGCAAGGGGGTTCAGCGGTGTGGGGGCCGCTCTCGGAGCTGCCTGGCAGAGGCTCTCCCCAACTGGCCGATGGCCTGCAGTCACCATCCCGCCGGGTGTCTGAGGCGTCACCTGCCCGGGGAGCCTCCTGCAGGCAGCAGTGCTGGTGGCCAGGCCCCACTTCTCCCCACCACCGAATGCTCTGAGGGCTGAGGCCAGCTGGGAGCTCGTCCCCAGCACACAGCTGGCATGTGATGGCCGGACCCCTGATTCAGCTGCAGGCCCCAGCCTGTGCCCTCATACCCGGCCTCCTGACTGTCCCAGGGTCTGCCTGCTGGGTTCAGACATACACAGGGTGGTCCCACCTGGCGGGGCTACGCCTCCTCAGTGTCCGGGACAGTGCTCCGGGGGACACAGCCCTGCCTGGAAGAGCCTCAGGACCACTGGCTGGGATAGGGCACTTGCCAGGTCCGGTCCCGGAATCTGCTGTCGGGGAGGAAGGACAGGGCACTCACTTCCTTCCACCTCCCATAGGGACACAGGGGGCCCTGCAGCCAGAGGAGCCCGCCCCAGCTCAGCGCTCCCCACCTACCATGGTCCCACCGGCCACTGTCTCAGCTCCCTCCCAGCATCCCCCAACCCCACCCCCCCCTCCCCTGCCACACCTGGACCACTGGGTGTCCCCGGCCTTGTCCCTGCAGGCTTCGTCTTGGGGTGGCTGCATAGGGCTTGGGGCGCTCGGACGGCGTGGGCACTGCGGCGTGGGCTCAGACGGTGTGGGCACTGCGGCGTGGGCACCGTTGGCCTCCCAGCCCGGCCGACCCACCCAGCAGCACCGCCCAGGTCCACGTGTCAGTCCCAGCGGCACTTCCGTCTGGTGCTCCCCGGACTTGTCGCCCCCAGACGGCCGCCCCGCCGGCCACCAGGGCGGGCGGCGGGGCGGGGCATACCACTCGGGTGCCCGCCCCACCCTGCTGACGCCCCTCCCTGCCGCCCCACAGGAAGGGGGCCGGCGGCTGCCCTGGCTGGTCCAACGCACTCTAGCTCAGCCGCAGCTGAGGTTGGTGCGGGGGCAGCAGGGGTTCCCGGCGCAGGCTGGTCTGACGGGGGCTTCAGAGAAGGACCCGGGTGAGGAACCTGGTCCCGGAGGTGCCACCCATTCCTTGGACACAACAGGGAGCCATGGGGACCTCTGTCTACATAATGGAGGGTGATGGCAGTGCCCGCCTCACAGGGCTGGGTGCCCATCAAATAAAAGTAGGGATAAAGTCTCAACCAAGTGCAAAGACGGAAGTCCAGGGTCACCGATTTTTAAAATGGATCGCTCAGGGCGGGGATGGGTCCACTCCTGAGCCCTTGGACCAAGCATGGGAAGAGCTGGGCAACTCCGGTGCTGGCCAGCGTCTTTGAAGCCGATGCCCCCAGGGTGCAGCCAGCAGGGGAAGTGGCCTCCCCCAGCGCGCCTTTCCCCAGGAGGCGGCAGGGTCTGCACCTCGAGCCCTCACCCCCGCCCCACCAAGGCCCACCTCAGTTCATCCTGCAGGCCGCAGCCGCTGACCCTCGGGTCGAGAGGCCACAGGCGGGCTCCTGCCCTCGGATCAGAGCCACCTTTACCCCTGCCCCCCACCTCAGCCCTCAGGTCTCCAGCAGCTCAAACCACTGCCCGGGCAGGGCCCGCTCCCAGCACCTGAGAGGATCAGATCTTAAAGACCTCGGCACCTTAAAAGGCAAGGCCACTGCTGATGTGGGGTAGGTGAAAAGATGGTGTCAGAGAGGTTTATCACCCCAAACAGCCCTCGCCACAGCCAGGAAAAGTGTTGCTAAACGTGTTTCTGTCAGTGGCGTCTTCTCTTTCTGGTGGTTCGCTTCCATTCACTCTTCGATGGTGATTTCCCATCAAGGAAGTCGTGCTGCAGCAGACATCTGCCATCTGGTTACCTAAAGTCCCCTTCCTCCTGGAGCGGATGTTCTGGGGCAGGTAGACAAAAATCAAAGCAATGGAAGGGGTAGGGAAGGGGTGTTACTTCAAATAGGTTGGGCTGGCCAGGCACGGTGGCTCACACCTGTAATCCCGATACTTTGGGAGGTCAAGTTCGAGACCAGCCTGATCAACATGGGGAAACCCCATCTCTACTAAAAATACAAAATTAGCTGGGTGTGGTGGCATGCACCTGTAATCCCAGCTACTCTGGAGGCTGAGGCAGGAGAATTGCTTGAACCTGGGAGGCAGAGGTTGCAGTGAGCCAAGATCGTGTCACTGCACTCCAGCCTGGGAGACAAGAGCAAGAGTCCATCTCAAAAAAAAAGATCGGGCTGAGGAGGCACCCCTGGACACCTGAGTGAAGTCTGGATGAACTGAAGGAACAGGCCATGCAGGGAATGGTGGGTAGCGAGGAGTCCATCTCACAGGGACGTTATAAAGCTGGGTGCTGGCAGTGGTCAGATAGAGGCTCTCCAGCCTTCTGGTTGATTCTGTGAGCCGCCCCACACCCAAGCATCTTTGAGGCTTAAGGTGAAAAATTATGTACAGACAGTAGACAGTGAACACCTGGGTTTCCAAGGACAGAGGGTGGCCTTGCCGACAGGGCAGTCACAGCCAGCACCCATCAGCCTTCTGCTTCCGCAGGGCTGCGTTGCCCCCGCCTGCTGGGCCTGGCCCACCTCGGTCTGCTTGTTTATTTCCAGTGCTGCTCTGAGGCGACGACGCTAGAGATGTTTTAAAGCAAATCCATGCCTTGCTGCATGTGCGGCGTCCCTGCCATCAGCGTCCACCTCCACACTCCCCTGCAGAGACCCCAGCACAGCTTCTTGTAAACCAAGACAAGCCAGCCAGGAGCCTGGGGCTTTGCACCCCACTTAGCCCTGCATCCTTCCAGCCCAACTACAATTCTCAAGACAAGGAGCCCCCCTCCCCCCCAAAAAAAGACTGACAGTTGACACCTTCCTCCGCCACGACTGACCAGTAGCAGCAAGAGGGAAGGCCGGGGCACTGAACACCACGTGCGGGAGCGGCCTGCAAAGCTGGGGCACCTTTCGGGCTGGGCTGACGCTGTCAACAGCAGACTGGAAAAGACGAAGACCCACGTGAGACGGCGCTGGAAACCCGAAAGATGAACTCTGCAATGATGACAGATTCGTGCGGCGTGGGTGCGACATGGAATCCTCCTGCCAGGTTCTGGAGCAGTTCATATTTTTCAAAATGTTGGTGAACTCGCTGAGTCTTACAAGAACATTTGTTCAACATCTCTAAGCCTGGAGGACCCAGTGAGGACTGGACGGGTACGCCAGTCTGTAGACAAACAGGGATGAACCCCGGGCCGGGGTGACCGCCAGCACCTCTCCGTTCTCCCATGACCCTCCACGGCACAGAATCCCTGGGGACGGGTCTGCTTGCTCCACTTTCAAAGCCACTTGGGAAAATCATCACAGCTGTCAAACACCGCGATCCACGAGAGAGAGAAAACCGTGTTTGTGTGAGGAAAGCCTGCGGACGTGTCTCCAGGAAGCAGCAGTCACAGCCAGGTGGAGAGCTTGCCTGACAGGTGGCAGCTTCTCCCCGGTTCCCAAGCTCATAAATTCCTTCTCAAATACACCGAGAGCCCAGTACAGGAGGCGCCGCGGCACCCAGACGTCCTCAGCTCTGGAGTGAGCCCGCAGCATGAGTCACAGCCAGGCGGAAGAGCCTGCAGCGTGACCTGCATTCAGGAACGTGAGAAAACGCACGTGGAGGAAACCCACTCACCTTCGGCCGCGCTCCTTCTGTTGATCCTTTTGGTTACAGCTGTGTGCGAGAGGGTCTACAGCTTTACCTGGTCAACGGTCTTCTGCACTATGGACAATTTGGACCTGTAAACCTGGCCTTTCAACTAGGCACCACTGAAATGTTGCAGGCAAATCAGAACGTCACATTCCCTTTACACCTTACCCACACACGCTCCAGGCTGACTGGTGAATACTGGGGTGTGAAATGAGAAACCACCCCTACCGCACAGACTCAGGGACACGATTATTACCAATCAACCACAGGTCGCGCCTCAGCTCCTGCACGCCAGGTGCCCAGTGCTGGGGCTCCGCAGCACAAGCCTGTTTATCTCTAGGGCCATTTTGTGGCTTCTGGAAAAGGCCACAGAAGCAGCTCAGGACATTGTACCCCTCAGGAGCCCATCTCAAAAGATTCTTGCCATAGCTAGTTACACCAAAGGCCTGTTCAAACCCCATGTTCTGCTTTTACAGAAGTCAAAAATCGCAGGCAAGGATGGCATTCCAAAATAAGGCCGAATATCCCAGCCAGACAGGTCACGTGTGCAAGGGGGGGTGCAGTGGGGGGGCTCATGATACCCACCTCCACCAAAACCACTGTGGTGCCTCCTGCCCAGTGCTGCTCAGAGTGGCAAAGGCATGTGGACGTCCAGAACACTGGCACGGGCCGCTGCCCCGCACGGAAGGGGGGCCTTCGCTGTTCTCTGATACCCAACAGACATGCAACTGCCCGACACCTCGCTCCGTCACGCCCGCCGCTCGGCCTCTGTGCACAGGCGGGTTCTGAATTTCACCTCAGGCCCTTGAAGCTGTCCGTCTGAGTCCTGCCAAGAACCCTACAACGGCCTTCCACCCATGAAGGCGCTCACGGCCCTGAACGCCTGGGAGCTACCCAGGATCGGACACCTGTGGTTACCTCCTGCCTCAGGCTCAAAAGCAACGTGGGCGTCAGGTCGACCGGTGGGCACTGGGTGTGTGGGCCTATTCCCTCTGTTTTTAATATGTTTGGAAATTTTCATTAAGTAAAACAAAACAAAACAAAAGAATCACTTGGCTATTCAAATCATTAAACTCATGCAGTGGGTGGTTCCAGGCTCTACTTCCTTCACACCAAGGAAACTAGTTTATGAAACATTAACTGCCCGGTCAGGAGAGCAGCTGAGAGGGTTCAAATTAAACACACACAAGCACTAGAATGGGCAGCTGTCAGGAAGGGGCAGAGCAAACTACAGTTCCATGAGGCAAGCTTTCTTCTGTCCTTCCACTCCAAGATCCCAACTTTTAATACAAACGTGTTATTATTTGTTATTAACGTACCCTTAGGCAAAAAAGAGAGCCTCCAGATGACAGTTCTGAGAAAAGTGTGAAAATTTTTACTGTTGTATTAAGAACAGGCAGTAGAAGCAACCTCTTCTGTACTTTTCAAAAGATCCTGGGGGGCACACAGGCCATGCTGGAATCAAGCACACAGAGTCGAACATGTACAAAGGTCCCACAGCAGGATATGGTTCATACAGGACTGTAACTGGCCTAGTGCTGACAATACAATTTGCAAAAAGTATGAAAAAAGCAACACTTATTTCTGAAACAAAAACATAGCTGTTGTAAAAAATAACACGCATAGTATCGGAACAGAACAGTCAATGGAGCAGCCATTACTGAAGACTGACGGCGGCAGGCAGCCGCGCCGGCCACGGGTCTGCGTGCTTCCACACCGTGAGGCCCTGTCGTGAAGAACGCACTGCTCTCCGCCGGTGGGGAAGCACACAGACCACTTGGCCACCATGCTTTCTGTCCGGTCTGTTCACGCTGAGACTTAGCAGTGACAGCCCAGAAGGGAATGAAGTTCCACGCTCCGAAGACATCACTGTCTTCAACACACGTCTAAGATTCTTTCTGGAACCCCCAGCTCCTCCACTCTTCAAAGCTAACGACGTACAGAAACGGAAATAAGAATATGAAGACATCACATTGCCTTAGAAAAACTGTCCTGAACGTTTCTTCAGACCGTGTCTTGACGGAATGGGAAGAGCAGCTCCGCCTCCCGAGGCTTCCGGAGACTCCAGACACACACAAGTACCCGTCTTCAGTCATCAGCCACGGAGACTTTGGTCCCAACCAATGTCAGCCTTTTCTAGAAACTGGAGACCCTGATTCGAATGGCAAGATGTGTTCGTTCCATTGGGCTTGCACTAACCCTAGGCTTCACAAAGATTCCGGACTAGGGTTATTCCCCATCCAACTTCATCATCAGGAACCAGAACATTCTCACACCCAACTTTATGCATCAGAGTACCAGATCATTCTCACATTTTATTTCAAGGCACTCTCCACCAGAAAGCGTAAAAAGATAAGCTACATTCTTACAAACACAACAGTGAGATACAAAATGAGACAAAGCGGAATTACACTGAATGCTCATTATCCCAAAGGGCTGAATTTCCTCTGCTTGCTGCAAAGACAAAGACTGTAAAAGGAGCAGGGAGAGTGTGCAGAGCACTTCCTCGGAAGACCTCCAGTCCACTACAGACCGTGAGAAAAGCGAGTGCAGCCCCACATGACGGGAAGGAACGCGGTACCTCAGAGACTTCCGGTCTCCCCGACATGTGCGCGTGCTGCATGCCAGCACTGGCTCTTTAGCCACCCACCGGCTGAACTGGAAATCAACAGCAGCACTTCGTGTGACGGCCTCATAGTGACAGTCCAGGCATGGGAGGACCCACTCGCGTCCCCCAGGTCGTGGAGACACTTCCCCCTGCTATGCACCGCTCCCCCTCTCGCTTTAAGAATAAGTCAGATTGACGATGTATTATACAATAAATGATCTTATATACACTCATAATAAAGGTCATTAGGAAGATGCTGAATTATCTGGTGCTATTACGGAAAATGAGCAGACATGTCTCTCACCTAAGTTTTCTTCTGGCTTCTGCTATATTTCACTTATCAGTTACTCCCTTTCCCTTCAACTTCTCTTCATCCTCAGACCTCAGAGGAAAGAACACCAAGGAAGTGTTCTTTGGGGGGAGCGGGAGTTGGAAGGCAGCATTTCCAGGGAGTAGGGCAGCCCTGCTTCCCCAGCACCGCACCTGACGAAGTCTCAGGGTCTGCCAGGCGCGGGTCTGGAGGCCACCGTGCTTCTGTAAGGAGGGCAGCAGTTTTATCTTTGCATCTCTTACTGACTACATAAGCCATCTAGGTCAAAGTCAACACTGCTAAAAGCTCCTACCCACTGGCAAAAGCAGCAGAGGACCTGAGGACACGACCTCACCAGGCTCCCACGGAGAAAGCAGCATCATTCAGACGCGAGAACAGTGCTGTGGACGCCTCGCTATCAACACTCAAGGGACCCAGGAGCGCAGTGAGGATGGTCCCTCGGAGGCAGGTCACCTGACTGGCTCCGGCACTGCCAAGCTGGCCACCGAACCCAGAGGCCGTGCTTGTCAAGACGCCTTGCTACTTGAGAATCAGGCGAGATCCCAGATTCAAGTGCTGGCAGAATTTCGCCCATCAGATGTACCTGCAATCTCCACTGCCTCCAAAGGACGCCTTCAGAGGGGTCAGCAGTTCCATTAACATCCACAAAACCAACGCTTGGCACCACCCAGTGGGGTCGACAGTGCCCGGCGGCCCACTGCGATGAGTCCAGACACGTCCACACAAAGAGCTACACAGGCAAGTGCCATCAACTATCCCGACTGGCAGACAAGGCACACAGCTCTGTACCGCTGCCCTTCTGCCCGCCACAGAGCAGGGGACGGATCTGAGAGTACAGGACACCCACAGAGCCGCCAACAGCGGAAGATGAGACGCTGCCGAGATGCTGAGGGGCAGATCACTGAGGCTGAACACGCTTCCTTGTGCCAACAGCCGCACACCAGCAGCTGAGGCCCTGTGGCCAAGGGCTGCCTCGCTCTAAGGAAGGCCGCTTACTCAGCACAGGGCCAAGAGGCCTTTCCAGCTGCAGGTACCAAAAAAAGCCACTGCCGCCATCACAGGGGGAAGAGTGTCCCAAAGACAACTGTCGTCTGAGATGATTAACACTTTTTAGAAGCCATTTTGGTCATTCTTGAAATCAAAGAGAAACCTTTATTTTCAACAAAACTGCCCAGAGGAGATGGTTCGGGGATCCACTATGAGCAAGTCCCTCACCACGCACAGCACCAACATATGTATTAAAAAAATTAAAAAACACACAGCCCCTCACACACATCTCCCAAAAGCCACACAACCCAGACCAAAGGGAAAACCAAACTGAATGCCCTCACACACAAGCCATCTTTGAATTAGGATTTACAAATTTATATATTCTTTCCCATGGAAAAAAAAAAACACAAAAAACCACAGGGGTAAGGAAAAACTTGTAGGTGAAGGCCTGACAAGACTCAGGGGAAGTAAGATGTAATGTCTGCCTAAGCTAACAGAAAGCAGAATCATGATTCCTGCTTTTCCTGTATTGGGAGTGGGATGCGGCCTGACAGCACAGCCCTCCGGGGCAGACCAAATCCTTCAGCAGCCAGAGGCCCCGGGAACGCCGGAAGAGCCGACCGCAGACCACCAGATTCTTCAGCGAGTGCCAGGCTGCAACGTCTGCATCAGACTGCCAAAGGGACGGCATCTTTCCCTGCAAGTTTCCACTGCCTGCGAAGGCCATTTTTCCCTATAAAAAAAGATGCCAGGTCAAAAAAAAGTACAAGGGAGAAAAAGAGTTCTCTACCGCAGTGAGAAAGCCGCAGCTGCAGGCTGATCCCAGGCGAGCCCGCGACGCAGGGCTGCTGTTGGGTCCACCACGAGCGCAGGTGCTACTTGGGCTCCTCGATCACACCCTTGCTGAGGTCTGTCATTTTGGGGTATTTTACTTTCTTCTGGTCCAGCTCATTCTGAGCCCAAAGTAGCAGTTTCAGTAATTTTGCCAGTTTGGGTGTTGACTCGCGATTTTCATAGTCGAGGACAGCTTGGTTCACTTCACTCCACACCTAGAACACAGAGACATCCGATAAAACCACCACACGCGCAGAGCGTCAGCACTCATTACAAACTTGTGGTTTAAACAAACACTAAGCCCTCAATGTGAGGCACTCTCGGGATATTAAACACAGAGTCCCGCCTGGGGAAGCTCTCAGTCTGCTCGGCAAATGTCACATCCAGCCTCGATGGCAGTTAAGTGCCAAGAGCAAGGCTTGAACCAAGGGCTGAGGGAGTTGTGAGAGTCAGGACCAGCACAGCGGGCCACACCAGCAGCCTGCTCACATGCCTCAAGGAAACATCTCCAGTGGGCTCCAGGACGGGCGGTCCTTCCAAGACAGTGCAAGGAGAATGGGAGAGGACCCGGGGGGAGAGGGGTCTGGGTCTGGAAAGGTGAGGAGCTGTCATGGTTTGCCAGACACAAAAATAGCAGCGAGGAGAGAAAGTTTAAGAAAACAGGATTTTAAATGAAGAAATACTTGGGACATATGCAGGAGGAAGGTTTGGATAAGTATGAGAAATCAGCAAAGGGTGAGAATACTCTCCAACGGTCATGAAGTCCAGCTTAACAAGATAAAAGATTAAAAGCCAGGGGGGGCTGGGCACGGCGGCTCACACCTATAACCCCAGCACTTTGGGAGGCTGAGGCAGGCAGATCACCTGAGGTCAGGAGTTTGAGACCAGCCTAGCCAATATGGGGAAAACTTGGTCTCTACTAAAAATACAAAAATTAGCCAGGCTTGGTGGCACACTCTGGTAGTCCCAGCTACTCAAGGCCGAGGCAGGAGAATCACATGAACACAGGAGGCAGGGGTTTCAGTGAGCCGAGCTCTCATCACTGCACTTCAGCCTGAGCAACAGAGCAAGACTCTGTCTCAAAAGAAAAGAAAAGAAAAAAAAAAGCCAGGGAGGAACCACGCAGTGTCCAGACCCAGAAGCCACCTGTCTCTCAGTCCACAGCACAAACCCACCCAGGTGGCGTCTTTGCGAATCCCCCTTGGAGCACGTCAGCAATGGAAGGAGGCTTCCCTCTCACGGGCCCCACCTTCTGCCTCTGCATGGTGTGAAGGAGGTCTCCGAAGGGCGACTCCTCGGGACTGTCAAAGGCCAGCAGAGCCAGGGTGCGCTCCATTTCCGTGAGGCACTCCCGGCTCTCCTCGCCCTGCTCCGCTAGCTGAGTCTGCGCAAACTCCAGCGCGGCCTCCGTTTCCCGCTGGCGGATCAGCTCGATCAAATGCTGTTGCTAAAGGCAGAGACAGACAAGACTGACCCACTACACACCCACCCAGGGGGTCAGGGCGGGCCGCCCCGGGTTCCCATCAAAGGCACGTCACAGAGCGGGGACTTTCCTTGCACCTCCAGTTATCAAATTTGCATTTTTAAAACAAAAAACAGCTTCTGAACTACATAAAACAGCAAATTCAAACCCCTCCCCCCCCACACATTAAAATAATATCGTGGCTGGGTGCAGTGGCTCACGTCTGTTATCCCAGCAATTTGGGAGGCCAACGTGGCCGGATCATGAGGTCAGGAGATCAAGACCATCCTGGCTAACAAGGTGAAACCCCGTTTCTACTAAAAATACAAAAAATTAGCCAGGCATGGTGGCACGCACCTGTAGTCCTAGCTACTCGGGAGGCTGAAGCAGGAGAATCGCTTGAACCCAGGAGGCGGAGGCTGCAGTGAGCTGAGATCATGCCACTGCATTCCAGCCTGGGCGACAGAGCAAGACTCCATCTCAAAATAAATAAATAAAAATAATATTATTATTAAAGCAAATTAGCCTAGTTATTTCTCAATCACTGCAAATAACTTTAACTTCTCGAGTATCTGCACACCAGACTCCTCTCTCCTGAAACATACCTGCAAATGGAAATAAAGATACCGGTTTGTGTCCAAGAGCTCTGGGTGGAGGCTGTTGATCAAGGCAATGGCCTCCTGAATCTGACCTTTCAGTATCATTTCCCGGATCTTGATTCGTTCATCAAGTGTTTCCAGATCCACACTAGGTTCAATCCCAGATTCCATTCGAAACTTCTCCGCTGCTTCTTTAAAGCCCTCTGAAAATAAAAACCATCTTCACTGCTAAGAAAGTTAGCGAGGAATTAAGGCAAAGACTTTTTATGTCCAGAAACTCCAACTGCCTCAATCACCTCTGATGTGAACCTCACTTTCTCAGAGACTCGGTATTAACATCTTTGTAATTTACAAGTTATGCTCTCAAAATACACAGAGAAAACAAGAAGAGTATACCTCATTCCTTGTTATCCCATCCAAAAACTCTAAGCAGTTAGCCAAAGAGGTCAAAATGGCTGCTGGCCCAGTGCGTTGGTGCGGGCTCCTTTGAGAAGACAGGTAATAGGTCCAGACGCCAGCAGCTGTGGATCTGGTGCCAGGTTAGGCAAGACACGCTGGCCCCACCTCCACAGCACAGCAGCCCTCCACAGCCAGCTCCACCTGAGTGGCCTGGTGACTCACACCTCTCAGAATGTCTACAGTTCTTCAAAGCCAGCATGTGTGCTTCTTCTCCTGCCCCAACACAATTATAGGCCTAAATTTCCTCATCACCTTCCAAAAATATTTTTTTTTGAGATGGGGTCCCACTTAGTCACCCAGGCGGGAGTGCAGTGGCACAGTCTTGGCTCACTGCAACCTCCAATCCTCCCACCTCAGCCTCCCAAGTAGCTGGGGCTACAGCATAAGCCACCACACTCAGCTAATTAAAATTTTTTTTTTTCTAGAGACAAGGTCTCACTATGTTGCCCGGTCTGGTCTTGAATTCCTGGGCTCAAGCAATCCTCCTACCTCTGCCTCTCAAAGTGCTAGGATTACAGGCATGAGCCACCACACTTGGCCCAAAAAATTTCAACAGAGATTAACCTTGGAGTGGGAACTGGGGACTAAAAGGAGGGAGATTTACTTTTCATGTTATGCCTTTTATTTATTTATTTATTTTTTGAGATGGAGCCTCACTCTGTCACCAGGGCTAGAGTGCAGTGGCACAATCTCAGCTCACTGCAACCTCTGCCTCCCAGGTTCAAGCGATTCTCCTGCCTTAGCCTCCCAAGTAGCTGGGGCTACAGGCACATGCCACCATGCCCGGCTAATTTTTGTATTTTTAGTAGAGACAGGGTTTCACCACACTGGCCAGGATGGTCTCGATCTCTTGACTTTGTAATCTGCCTGCCTCGGCCTCCCAAAGTGCTGGGATTACAGGCGTGAGCCACTACACCCAGCCACGTTACGTCTTTTAAAAACATCTGGATTTTCTTGCCACATACAGCACTGCCCTCCCTCCAGCCGACATCGAGAACAGCCTGAGTGTTATTTCCCCCTTCCCCATTCTCATCTTATTCTCATCCTCTGAGTCGGGCACACCCTCGAGGAACAGGCCAGTATACTTCACCAGACTGGCCAGGAGAGACCACCTGCTCAGGCTTTAAGGATACTTACTTCGCAGCAGTCTCAACCACCTTGATTATCTAACAGTAAAACTGTCAAAGCTGAGAAATGGGTTTGTGTTAGGTCTCAAGAGAGCTGGAATAACCTGATCTCCAGAAAAGGCTATCTTTTACATGATGAGTTACAAACTTTCCAAGTTAGCACTGTGTTTCTATAATGTCTGAACACAAATAACTACGCCACCAACCCTCAGGACTGCAGCACTCCTTAAGTGTCTGTCCACAAAGGGAGAGCCGCATTCAGGCAGCAGCGTCCTCCCTGTGAGCCATTACCTGTGACCAGGTAGTTCATGATGAGGCGGTTCATGTCTGCTCTCTGGACATGTAAGTTATTGAGCTTTTCCATCCACTCATCTTTCGTGATTTCATCGGGTTTTTCTGCATAACTCATTCTGATTTATTTCTACAAGAAAAAAAGCATAGCTGAGGGAGAGGTTTAGAGTCTCCTCTAAGTGCAAAGGGCAGCGCTGGAGAGCCGTGAGCTAGAGAATCCCACACTGCGAGCATGGACTGAAAGAGAAGGCTGCCACGGGACACCCACCAGACAGAAGGCCGATTCTTAGCAAAGACACAAGTGCACTTGAACTCTTCTACTCTGGTGTCAGGAGAATGGACTGTGCTACGAAAATAATCTGGCATCCACTGTCAAGCTGAACATGTGTGCTCCTTACAATCAACAATTCTACTTTTAATACATTCATATTCTAGAAAAACCCACCAGAACGCAGCAAACACAGACAACCCTGTTCCTAGCAGCACTGTTCAAATCGGCAGAAGTGTGGAAGCCACCCACCTGCACAGAACCACACTGCTTGTTAAAACCCCGGGGCAGATGTGTTTTGAATTTGGAATTTTTCAATGTACAGTGATATTTGGTGCAATTCACCACGGAACAGCCTCTCTGGGGTTTGGGGGAGCTTCCCATCATCAGAGGCTACTTCTTTAGTGAAATATGTGAGTATCCATACGAAGTGGTAGGGGCTATTCAACTTTACCTGGTGAGGTTTGGGCCAAACAAAACCATAAATTTTGGTTTCAGAGATGTTTAGACTTTAGCATTGCTGAGAAAGCTTTGTGGTCATGTACTCACACAAGAGAATTTCATAAAGCAGATAAGACAGTGTCACACAAAGTCACAAAGGTGACTGTCATACAACAACGCTGAATGAAAAAAACAAGTTGCAGGAGAGGCCAAATGTGGCGTGAGTTTTATAAGGAACAACAAGACAAAATACACTATACGTGCTTTAGCAACAAATATGTGGCTGAACTACTTTGTTTCTTAAAATAGGGGCATGAAAGCTGACACTCAGGAGGGGTTACCTGTGGGAGGGGCAGATGCCTGAAGCCCAAGAGGCAGCTGTTGCAGCTTTGGGAGAATGGCTGGGTACCTGAGATGGGCAGTGGGCAACCGCTGTCCACTCTGTCTTCATCTTTTGTCACTGATATATGTGTTACAGATGCTACTTTATTCAAAGGACTGCTAAAGTTCGTCAATAAATTAAAAAACTAAAAGATGATTTTGGTCTTCTGGCTGAACACGGGATGAATGCAGGGTGGTGAGAACGGACCAGCAAGTCCGTTAAGGAGACACTCAAGTGAGAGAGGACATGGGCAGAAGAGACGGAGACAGGTGAGATCAGGACGCTTTGGTCATGGAGTCAACGGCTACTGCTGGGCAGAAGATGACGAGACAAAAGAAAGGGAAGAGCTGAAGATGGTCACAGGTTTCGGGCATGAGAGGCCTTGGAAGATGAGGCCACAAATAAGGAGTAAGGGCTGGGGGAAGAACAGGTTTGAGAAGCAGGGCAAGTCTGAGGTGACTATTAGACATGCAGCTGGAGAAATCAAGCAGGTGTCTGGATTCCAGATCCTGCGCTCGGTGCTGGAAACATTAATTAGGAAAAGAGGGCGGTGGATGGGGATACTTAAAGCCAAGAATTCAGCAAAGACCACCTAGTCGGAGAGCGTAGCTAGGGAATGAGAATCGTCATTACTTAGAGGATGCCAGCCTTGAAGGTCAAGCAGAGAAAGTGGCACCAGCAGAAGAAAAGTTGCTGTGGAGCAGCAGGTAAGGTGGAGTGCCCAGGAGCTGCCGTCACACACCAACACCCACCGCCCGCACTTAGTCGACTGCAAAACTCACTGAGACCAAATTTTTAACCATGACAATCAAAGGTAACTTAAGAACCTTTTTTTTTTTTTTTGTAAGTCAGGGTATCGCTCTGTTGCCCAGGCTGGAGGGAAGTGGCGCGATCTTGGCTCACTGCAACCTCGACCTCCCGGGCTCACGATCCTCCCACCTCAGCCTCCTGAGTAGCTGGGACTACAGGTGCGCACCACCACGCCTGACTAATTTTTTTGTTTTTGGCGGAGACCGGGGTCTCGACGTTGCCCAGGCTGGTCTCGAAATCGCGGGCTCAAGCGACCCGCCCACTTCGACCTCCGCCACCGCGCCCGGCCCCGGCCCTGGCCCTAGGAGCCGCGTTACGAGCTCCCTAGGGAAGGCACCTTCCCCCTCGGCCCGTTCGGGGATCGGGGCTCGCAGCGCTCCCACTCCCAGGCGGTTACGTGCGCCCACGAGAAGCAACCACTTAGGAGAACTGGCCCGTCCCGTCTGCGGGAAGACCTCGGAGCCTCCGACTCCGCGTCCAAGGGTTCGGCGGGAGACGCCGGGTGCCGAAGACGCCCGCTTCCCACGCCACGCTCCACGTCCTCACCCGCTCGGCCTCTGCTTTCAACCGGCAGATTTTGCTCAAAGACCTCGTTACAGACGTCGCCCCGGAGACAGCGAGCGCCCTCGGGCTGCCCGGGACGCCCCTGAACGCCCGGGGCCGCGCGCCTGGAGGCTGATCCCCGACGGCCCCCTGGACGCCCGCGCGCGGACTCACGGCGCGCCCCAGCCCCGCACCCGCCCGCGCCGGCGCCTCCGAGGCCCCCAGAGCGGAGGCGGCGCGCACCCCGGCCGCCCGGGCCCGCCGCCGCCATCTTACCGTGCGGATCCTGCGTCCCGCGCTGCGCTGTCTGGGCGGCGGCGGCTCCGCAACCGCTCCTGGGCCGGGGAGGGGCGGCGGCGGCCGGGGCGCCCGAGCAGAAGGAGGCGGAGGCGGGGGCCGCGGCGGAGGCGGGGGCGGGGGCGGGGAGCGCAGGGCAGGCGCACCGGCGGCCGCCCCTCAGCAGCTCTCGCGACAGCACGAGCGCGCGAGAGCGCGAGCCGACGACCAATGGAGCGCCCCCGCGAAGGGGCGGGACCGACGGCCTACCGGAAGCGCGGGCTCTCAGCTTCCGTCCTTGCGCACAACTCCCCTCGCGGCGACCTCGCGCTACGGGTTGGCGCGAGAGTCAAAAGGCGTCGGCCGCCTCTGGGCAAGATGGCTGCTGCGGAGGCGTTGGAGTGCGGAAACCTGAAGCGGGGATGGCGACGTCTGCGCTGAGTCGGAGGCGAAGGTCTCAGCTCTTCTCCTGTCGTTTGCGTGAGGCCGGACGGGGCGGGGCGGAGAAAGGGCGCCGGGTGTCCGCGGTCGCCCCGGAGACGGGGAGGGAGTCCCCTCCGGGCCGGCGGCCTGCCGGGGCTGGTGTCCCCGAGGCCCAGGGAGAGGCCGCGGACGCGAGGCCCGGCCGGGCGGGCGCCGTGCTCGCCGCTCGCGGAAGCGACTCCTCGGCTTTACTCCAGGCCAGGTGCGGAGTCGGAGGGCCCTGCCCTCCCCGGGGTCGCGCCGCAGGGGCCGGACGCGGCCGGGCGCGCGGGACAAAGGCGACCCCGCCGGCTTGCGGGGCGGAGTCCCCGCGGCGGCGCGGGCAGGGCCCGGGGGACGCGGTGGCCGCAGCCCGCCGGGCAGGGGCGCGGTGAGGCCGCCCTCGGGTGTGCGGGCGATCTTTCGCTTGTGGCGGTCCGCTCGGGAGGAGCGCACGCTCCGGCATGGCGGGGTCCCCCGTTTCCGCGGCTGGAAAGTAACTCGGTGTATTTGATGGAACCGGAGGAAGAAAGTTAGAGCCACTGGGGGGCGGCCGCCGGTTTCGTCTGCGGCGTCCGCGGAACGCCTCGGAGGCGCGGGCCGGGGAGGGTTTCGCGCGGTGGCTGGCGAGGGAGCCGCGCGGGTCGGGCCGCTTGGCCTCCGTCGGTCCGGTTCGGCAAATAGGCCGGGAAAGACGGCCGGCTTCGGACATTTTCCGTTAACCGAAGGAGCGAAGTCGACAGGTCTAAGGTCTTGACAGAATTGTGCTTAATAACGCAGAGGCGGTACGTGCCGGTCATGGCGCCATTTGCAGCTACCTGACCCTACGGAAACAGTTCTTGATCTTTATTTAGAGACAGAGTTTCACGTTGTCGGCTCCCTGCAACTTCGCCTCTGGAGTTCAGGTGATTCTCCTGCCTCACCCTCCCGAGTGGCCGGGACTGCAGGCGCACGCCACCACGCCCGGCTTTAATTTTTACTTTCAGTCGAGGCAGGGTTTCACCATGTTGGCCAGACTGGTCCCAAAAACTCCTGACCTCAAGTGATGACCCACCTCGGCCTCCCAAAGTGTTGGGATTACAGGCGTGAGCCACCGCGTCCGGTGTATTTTTATTTACGTTTTTTAGAGGCGGGGGTATTGGCTTCTTGCCCAGGCTGGTCTCGAATTCCTGGGCTCAAGCGATCCTCTGGAAATGCTGGATTTACAGGCGTGAGCCACCATGCACAGCTTGAACGTCAGCGAAAAAGTGTGCGGCGGGGAGGATGCACGGGCCGAAAGTTGAGTGCTGGCGTCGTCAGGAGGCTCCAGTCCGGAACGGCTTTCCCAGTCCTGCCTGCGGGTCACAGGTTAATGCCCTTCTCCCGGCATTCGACCGTTACCTAGTCCTGCTTGTGTCCACTCCTTCATTCAGCCTCTCTAGAAACTGGCTCCTTTGTGCCATTTCCCAGCCTCTGCTGTAACGTGGCAGCCATCGTCTTTGATTTTCGGATTGCCAGGACGTCTTCCTAACTCGTGCGAGTGCGGGAAGTCCTGTTTCCACCTCTCACATAGCAGACAGGGTGATCGCCAAAAGCCATCACTCACTCCCTCTGTCTTCCTCTGAGCTTCCCTTGGGGACGCCTCCATTGCCCACATAAAGTTAGCACAGCTCTAAGTCTGCACTCCTGATCTTACCTCTTTTTTTTTTAGACCGAGTTTTGCTCCCACCATTCCAGCCTATGGGAGGTTCTCTTGTGTCACCAAGCTCTGTTATTGCTGTATTCTCACAATCTGGGTCCTGCGTGTAAAACACTTCGCTAGGCTAACTCCTGTTCACCTGCTCAATAGAAATGCGGCTTTCTTGGGGAAATCTTCCAAACACAAAGCTGGATTGAGTGCCTTTCCCATATGCTTGCACAGAATCCTAAACTAGCCCTTCGTAGCTCTTAGCACACGGTCTGTATCGTTGCTGCCTGGTAGGATGTCATGATCACCACAAAAGGGTGAGCTGCGTGCGAGCTGATGATGGCTGAAGTCTAGTTTGTAATAGGAGTTCCCTAAATATTTGTTGAGTGGATGAATGAAGAATTATGAGGACGTTAACTGGAAGCAGTACCTTCAGTCAGAAGGGAAATGAGCAGTCCCTGGTGACTGACGGTTTGTGGGAGCGAAAAGGGCAGCCCAGAGTGATGCTGGTGAGTAGCCCAGCTGGTGAGGTCGTGGCGCCAACTGAGAATGATCATGAGGAAGGAGGTGCAGTAGCTAGGAGGGCAAGGTGATGAGCTGCGCGTGGGCCTCGCTGAATTGTTGAATTGGAGGTGCCTGTGGGGTAGATCCAAGCTTGGAAAAGAGCAGGCTGGAGTTGAGAGATGGGTGTAATATATTCAGAGGAAGTTCGCGGAGGCAAGGATGGATCAAGGCCAGAATGCAGAACCGCAGCCTGTGCTCACTGAGGAAGAAGTTGCCTGTGGAGGGTAACAAGAAGTAGCCGGGGGGTCTGACAAGAACCAGGGGCTTAAAAGGTGCTCCCTGCAGCCACAGGGTGCAGAGTTTCAAGAAGCTGCGTTAGCAGTGTCCAGGCTGCAGGAAGTCCAGGGTGAAGCTGCCCAGTTACAGTGTCCAGGCTGCAGGAAGTCCAGGGTGAAGCTGCCCGAGCTGCCCATCTGATAGCTTTTGGTGACAGAGAGAGGCTGATGATTCGGTGGGATGGGAGACATCCGATTGTGGTGAGTAGGGGTAAGGTGAAGACAATTTAGTGTGTCGAGGCGTTCAGAAGCGGTTAGGGCCATGCGGCATATGTACTGAGAAGTGAGCAGGGGGCTAAATGCCGCCAGATGCTGCAGTGAAGTGAGCAGTGAGCTGATGCCACCAAATGCTGCAGTCGAGTGAGCAGGGAGCTAGATGCCACCAAACGCTGCAACCACAGGTGAGGAGACTGAGGAGCAGGGAGGGGGTCAAGGATAATTTCTCAGCTTCTGGCCCATGCATTTGTAGGGTGGGACCATCCTCTGGATACGGAATGCCAGAGAAGAGCCTGGATGTAGTAGGGAGGCCAGAAGTCATAAGCTCAGTTTTGCATGTTAGGTAGGTTCTGAAGTGCATTTGAGGGATCCACGTGGAGATGCCAGGGGAGCAGGTGAATGATGGTGCAGGCAGAGATCAAGGTAATACAGCCAGGGATGCGTGAAGTCTCCGTGGAGAGTGTGTGGGTGGAGGCCAGAACGCTGAAGACACCAGCATGTGGGGTCACTAAGGGTGCAGGGAAACAGGAAAGAGGTAGGTGGGTCCTGGGACAGGAGAGGGTGCAGGGCCACACCGGTTCACATCTGGGTCTGTGACCGAGATTTCATCAGCTGGATTCATCAGCTGCCTGAGCTTTCCTATGACAGAGGGGCCTGGGGACAGAGAAACCACAGCGTAGGCACTTAGAGTCAGCTGAGGGGCAGCCAGGTGTTCCGAGCTTCCAGTGCTTTGCAAGCTGAGGTGGTGGCTTTGAACCTGAGTTTTTTCATTTTGAGAGAGATGAACCGAAAGAGGAGTGCTGAAGGTATATTAGTCTTTGTTTTTTTAAAGATGGAGTCTCACTCTGTTGCCCAGGCTGGAGTGCCACGGCTCGATCTCAGCTCACTGCAGCCTCCGACTCCCGGGTTCAAGCGATTCTCCTGCCTCCGCCTCCCGAGTATCTGGGATTATAGGCATGTGCCACCACACTCAGCTTATTTTGTATTTTCAGTAGAGATGAGGTTTTTCCATGTTGGTCAGGCTGGTCTCGAACTCCCGACCCCAGGTGATCTGCCCACCTTGGCCTCCCAAAGTGCTGGCATGGCGGGCGTGAGCCCTGCGCCCAGCCTGCTGCACATTTCTGACACCGCGTGTCTGTGGCGAACTCGGACCCTGTAAAGCATCTTTACTGCTGTTTGATGTAGGTGCCCTCCCCCTCCCACTTTTTGTCTGATTTTATTTCCCTTTCTAGATTATACTACTAAATCAGAAAGTACTGAGTATGTTGTAAGTTAGTTTGGGTGAGAGCAAGAATAATCTTTTCCTGATTTTTTTTTTAAATCTTTGACTCCTGCCGAGGTCGAAACAAACTGCATTCAGCATACTGTTCCTGAAACAAATGGGGTGAGAGGTTAAGGTGGTACAGTCCTTCCATTGCAGACCAGCTGGAAAGTCCAGGCAGAGGATGTTGATTAGCAATGTACATGGTCAAAGCATCGTTTATGTACTATTTCATTTGAGTTTGATTTTGTACTTGGAACCTGGTTGTTTGGGGTTTGATGATCTGAGTTTTCTTTTTTATAAAAATTAAACATATATATATATATATATATATACACACACACACACACATACATGGGGATAGTTTTGCCTGTGTCTTAAGTTCTTGTAGGCATGCAGCTGTTGTGAGCACCTGTCTGATTAGAAGGTAGAATTAGAAATAGAGTTCCTGTGTTCCCCAGGCTGGCCTTGGGCTCAAGCGATCCTCCTGGGCCTCCCAAAGTGTTGGGATTACAGGCGTGAGCCACTGAGTCTGGCCCTACATTTACTCTTTAAATACTTTTGTATTTGAATGAAAGAGGCAGGGTGGCTCACACCGACGATCCCAGCACTTTGGAGAGGCTGAGACAGGAGGATCTGTGAGGTCCACAAAGTCAGACCACA